TTTGGAAGTATAGAAGAAAAAATAACATGCATGTGGTTAACAAAAATTCAAATGGCAAGTTTCCTTTTCTCCCTTAGTATCATTCTCTCTAAAAGCCACCAATGTTCTTTTCCAAGAGTTCGGGCCTTTTTTGGGATAAATTTTTTACGTGTGCTCCCTCTTTTCTTGCCACCACCTCGCCGGCAGGCACACTGTTCCCACTTTCCTGCTTTGTGTGTGTCTGTCGCGTGGCTTACTTCCAGGTCAGGGCTCCCCAGAGCATGTTTCACCAGACACTTGTGCAGGGATGGCAACAGGTGCAGGGTGGGAGGAAGCTTCTGTTTTGAAATGTGAAATTAATTGGGTTTTCTAACTGAAGGTTCTCTAGTGTGATTCCCTCCAAGGGTATATATCATATATTACTATATTTGTATTTTGTTTTTTGAATCCCCAAAAAGGAATATACATAAAAATATATCATTCTATATATGATATAGTTGTATATATAATTATAGGATTTAAATGCATCTTTGCTTATATATTTTATATATCAACATTTAAATATATAGACACATACACATACATATACACATTTACAAACTTATTTATTCGGGACAGATTGCCTTTTTAACAAGGAGACTGTCATGGCATTAATGTTCCACCTAATATATTTTGGAAAAGGTGTTTCTATTTCGGCAATAACTAAGTAAGAAGGTTTTTCATTAAGTAAAAACATAAAGGTATGAATATAGTTAAAATTATAACATTCATGCCAAATGTTGTTTAGAATGTTGGCTGTACTTACAAGAATGATAACTTATATAGCCCAAGTGTTCTGGGTGTTATGAGGCATGAGAGCACACGTCGTGGTGGTCTGTGTCATGCTAGGAGTGGGCTGTCCTCCACATGTTGGTAGCTGGTTTGTAATGACTACATTTGGCATTTTGCCGTCTCCAGGTCTGCAGCCCACGTTGGTAGAGGGGGCGTGCCGCCAGCCCTGCAGTCCTGGAGGCTAATGAGCCCACTGGCAAAGCTAGAGTGCTCCCTTGAGGTGGGAAGGGATCTAAGCCTAGCCCTATAAGTAGGCTTTTCTGCCTTTAAAAAAATCTCTTTTCTTAATGCTGTCTTTATAATCTAGTGTCTCTGTTGTCTCCTTATATCCTAGTAGAGGTGACCTACAGCCTCTCGGTTCCCAGCCCGTCCCCTGCTCATGTTGTCCCTGCCCCTGGCTCCCAGTTCACATCATTCCAGTGTATATCTGTCATCCCCCCTTGGCTCCAGGGAAACCTCCCACTGTGGTATTTGCAGACTCATTTGGTTGTGGTTGTCATCTTTCTCAGAAAACCCTTTTTATAGCTATGAAAAATATTCTAGTCTGAGTCCACATTTGACCTACCCAGTTTTTACAGACTTGAAAGAAAATATCACTTTTCTGAATTGCAGTAATTGACTCCATTTTATTCCTTATGCTGGCCTCACCGCTCAACCCATTGTTGCACGTTTGGCCTGTGGTTAGGTACAGCCACCTGGGTGCCCAGTTTTAAGAATTGCTCTTGTGACAGTGACGGTATCTCTGCTGCCATCATGTGATTATTCCAGCTACTTGTAGGAAGTTTCCTTTTAAAATCTGATTTTCAACTCTTTCTTTCATTAGAATAGGATTTATCCACTTCCCCTCCAGTACTCACAAAGATGTGGTAGAATACAGCAAACAGACTTGAAAAGATGATGGAAAACGTTAAATCTTGGCATTAGTTAGGAATGCAAACTACATGCTCAGTGTAAAGAGAGACATTTACGGAGTGCTTACTGCATGCCAGGCACTGTTGTGAAGCCCACACAATTGAGCTCTCTTATCCTCACCGCAGCTCTGGGGTAGGTGTGGTTGCGCCCTCCTTGCAAAGATGAAGATGCAGCGTACAGACCCAGAGTCGCTTGCGCAGTGTCACACGGCGAAAAATGGGCAGAGCCGGGACTCACAGCCCAGCATTCTGTTTCCAGAGTGTTTCACTTTGGTCTAAGCCAGGTCACCACAGAAATAAGAAGCTTTCAGCTATTACCAAAGTTCAGTAAAGGGAAAAAATTTACTTGGAGAAGCTTTTTTCCTATTACTGTAGTAAAATATACATTAACATAAATTTTTACCATTTTAACTATTTTTGATCATATAGTTCAGTGGCATTAAGTGCATTCACAAGGTTGTGCAGCCATCACCACCGTCCATCTCCAGAGCTTTTTACCTTCTCAAGCAGAAACTCCGTACTATTTAACAGTAACTCCCACCCCTCCCCCCATTCCACTTTCTGTCTCTATGAATTTGACTAGTCTGGGGACCCCTCATTAGTGGAACCATACAGTATTTTTCCTTCTTTGCCTGGTTTATTTCACTTAGTGTAATGTCCTCAGAGTTCATCCAGGTTTATCGTGTGTCAGAATTTCCTTCCTTGTTAAAGCTGAATATCATTCCATTCGTTGGAGGACACTGTATTTCATTAGGCAGTGCCTGTTAAGGAGAAGCCACAGCACAAGCTACACTGAATTTAGTGCTCAGAAGAGCTGTTCTCTCAACATGTAAAGAAGCTCGTGTGTGATATTTAACTTGGACAATGCAACCTTGAAAACAGGTTTAGAAATCTTTAGCTTAGAATCTTCTGTTTCACAAAACTCCCAATTCCTCAAATCATGTAAGTTAGAAATCTCAATTCTGAAATGTAATACTGATAACATGGGTTTTAACTTCAGTTTCAACTCACTCCCAGAGTACATGTGACTTCTTTTGAGCCTGGCCGAGGTATTGGGCCCCCAGTCCTTTGTACAGAGTAGATACTGAGTGACTACTTAGAGCTCTGTCTTGCTAATTTACTCTCTTCACCTGGGAATTTCAGTCACTGCCTTACACTGAAGGCTGGTAATAAAAAAAGAAAGTTGAAGCTTCCATCGTTGAATTAGCTCTAGACTTTCTTGTTCTCTGTCTTCCTTATGTAGTCATCTTCGTTCCTACTTGGCTCCAGGTGTTGTATTATAGTTCAGGATTGATGAGCAGGAGCATTAGGAGGTGTCAGTCTAGTAGACAATCTGGAGATGAGACAGTCACCTTCAGAGAACCAAGAATTGGCTGTACTTAGTCAAGTTTCTAATCAGCCATTTTTTAGGTAAAATCGGATGGTGTTCTCTATCTGTCATCCTTGGTCAACACCCATGGTGCTTGTATTCAGGATGAAAGAATCTCTTTGCATGCTTCCTCCAAGTCTACATGTAGCATTCCCACACTAGAATATAGAAAACAGCCTCTTATTCTGAGAGATTTGGAGTGTTAGCAACAGTAATTTTTATTTCCCTTCAGGTAGGGGACCAGCAGATGACATTTGAATCCTCCAGCCATAACAAATAAATTGCTGTTCAGCTGATTTCTCATCAACAAGCGTTGGTGTGGTTGAGACTTCTTCTGCGCCAGCTGATGGGTCCTTTTCATCCTTTTTGCTAAGTGGATGGCCTCTGTTATTTCTGCTTTCAGAAAGGGAACTCGCACTCCTGGGCACCAGGACTTCGACCTGCTCCCATCTCCTTATTGAGTAGTACGATTAGGTTGGTCTTTAGGTCAGAAATGGCTTGTTTCAGGGAATAAAAATAAAGACAGATGGTGAGAAGAGAAATGAAAGGTTTAAATAGCCTGCTTGTTCTGACATCTCTAAAGGAATTTTTGCTGGGGGCAGAGGGAGGAACTGTGGCTTTGCTTTTGAGAGCTCTTTAAAACTACTGTACAGTGAAGGCCCTTTGAAGGGTAATTGGGAGAACAGGATTGGTGGGGTTCAGGCACTGCCTGGCTCCACTTTGCCGGCGTCTTCACTGGCCAACAGCACTAACCGCCTGCTGTGTGGATGAATCAGTGAATGGAAAGAATGGGTTCTAGAATCCAAAAAAGATCTGGTTTTAAATCATTCTTCAACCACTTGTTACTTAGTAAGTTGGGGCTAAAAACTTAACATCTCTGGATAGAACTTCCTTATCTGTAAAATGGGGACAGTGAATGACAAAGTGGAGTTTCATGAAAATTGATCAGATAATTCTTCACATCAATAAGCACTTATAAATGGCAGATATCAGGCTGGCAGTGTTGGGGTGCTAGGGAGTGATGTGTGTACCCTGCATTCACGGAAATTATGGCTTGTCAGACAGCACTTGAGTTGGAAGGAGGAGGCTTGAGAGTCAGACAGAGTGCTCCAAACACAGCCAGGGTCTTCACTTGTGAGGCGAGGAGGACCTGGGCTATGGCGGTGGCACCTGTAAGGACAGAGTGAAGAGACACGTCCAGGAGCTGTTGTGAACAAAGGGTGCACAGAACTCAAAACCGACCTGGTTGGACAGTGACAGCAAGGGGTTGGGATCAGAGACACCACATGACAAGTTCCTAAAGTGTGTTTTGCTATTACTGGGTGTTACGAGAACAAACGGGTCATGGAAATCTGGGTCATTGTGGATTAAACAAAGATAAACTGGCACCTTTACTGCAGGAATTTCAGATGGTGATGCGTTAGCGTGGGCCGTGCATCACCAGGAGGAGATGAAGCATGCAGAATTTCCCCTAAGAAAGCCTATGTATTTATCTATTTAGTTGTTAAAAGGGATCAGCCTGTGCTCTGAAGGATACTCTGAGAAATGCTACTGTGAAGTGTCAATACCAGAAGAGCAGGAGAAGACCAGGCAGCTCCTAGTCGGCCAAAAACACTAGAGTTGTTCGAATTCTTCTGAGCAACTGGAAGTAGAGGCAGCCACTGAAGCCCTGCAAATTAACAAAGATAAAGGGATCCATTTGGGAAGGATCGGGGAATTATGAAAACCAGTCCACAAAGAGACAGATATCTATCACTTCATATATGCCTTGCTTTTTCCTTTAACTTGTAACTTCAAGCTTTTATGTCATAATTACCATTCAGCTTGGGTTATGAATTAGAGATTGAGTTTCCCCCTGCTGTGATGGTTTTAAGGTATCTCTAAGAGATTAAACGTGTCTTTCCTTGCAGGTAATGTACAAAAGGATTCTGCAGCAGGCGGGGTTTATACAGTTTGCACAACTTCAGTTCCTGGAAGCTAAAGAGCTCTTCAGGTAATTTGAGGTGTTGGTAGCAAGACTTCCACTACAGTGTCCCTCTGTGGTCAAACCTCTGTTTCCAGTGTGATGTCGTGATGGGAACTGTTGGGCTTCAGGTGGAAATGGTGAGGGTTGTTGGGAACAGCAGACACCAACAGTGCTGGTTCCTCGACTTCACCCCTCACCCTCTGCCTCGGGTTAACTGTCCTGTGTCTTAAAGAGGGTGGGGGCTGAGGAGGGGGCAGAGAATAGTCCTGTGAAGAGGCTCTTGTGAAGGCATCAAGACTCTTTGCCAGTCTTGCCCAAATGGTAGGGGGAGTGGGGAAAAAAAAAAAAACCAGAAAAAGATTGTTTAGCCAGGAGAAGAGAATTCTAGAGAATGAACTTGATAGCACTGGAGGGATTCCTAGGAAAGCACTATAGTTCTGACTTGCTTTTCTCCAGAGATTTTACAAGAAGCTCTGAGTTTAGAGAAACAGCTGGGGCTTCTGGAAGACCTATGAAAACTTTTTGTTACCTTCTAAAGACTTTTAAAATGTGACATTCCTGGTCAGCTGTCTTAGAAAGTTGAGTTTCTCTTGTGGAGGTCCCTTGTGGCATTGAGATGAATCCTGTATCAGTAGGATGCATTCTCTCTCACCCCGCCTTCCCCCCCCACCCCCCGCAGCGACCACGCCTGTCTTATGGGCGCACCTTTGGTGTCAGGCCCCTCCTCTCCCCCTGCCCTTTCCTGCAGCCGGTGTGCTTGGTGAGGCAGTGCTTACTTGTTCAGCACTCCTTGCAGAAGACTAAGTTAGACCTGCTCTGACAGTCTTTAAATAACCTACTAAAGCACTGCCTTTAGAGTAAGTTTTCAAAATGTCTCACTAGAATAGATTCTGCACAGTTTAGAGCTATCTAAAATATAAGATGTATGGGAAGCCCCCGAATAGATCATTTTCATCTAGGTAACAAACACCTCTCGTGGCACGCTGTCTCCTGCCAGTCCTCTAGGATGTTTGCCTACGACCCAGGCATGTCCCTGCATCCACTGTGGCTGTGATCTCTCTGTTACACAATCCAGTGTAGACAATGGATTTCTGAGCAAAGAAGGAATTATTCCTTAAATAATGATGTCCATATAACTTTTACTTATGCAAATCCCGTGGGCCGTTCTCATCTGTTCCTGGAAAGATCAGTAGCCTTGGGGTATAAATAGATTCTTTGCCCCTTTGAACCTAAGCTCTTTTCTGCCATATCTTATTTTATCCCTGCAGTGTTGAAGACCTCCTTACTTGGGTCATGGGTGCATGTCAGGGCATCTTTTTCTCATGGGCTGATCTGAAACAGTGGCCACGACGCATTCCTAGAAGAGTTCACTGATTTTGGAAGAGAATAAATGTAGGGCCTGTCTGTTATTAGGATGAGATTCCTGCACTTGTATACATCAGCTTCTTACTAGCTTAACTTTACATTGACTGCTGCTTAGCTTCTGTCCGGAGCGTGACTGAGAGCATTGATACTTGAAGAGGATACTCCTAAAACAGGGATGAGTCCACTTTCCCTTCCTGTGCCCCAGGCAAACATTGCCAATAAATCATGGTGTTTTTTTTTTTTCTTCATTGAACTGGGACTTGTCCTCAGACTCCTTCTCAGTACTGTGCCAGAGGCCACAACTGCCAGCTGGTTATGGCTGGTGCCTAAGAGGAAACAGATTTACCCTTTGCATGCATTGTGGGGACATGTGCAATGTGTCTGTTCCTCTGGACAGTCTGCAGCCTGTCCTTGTGTCCAGCAGGTGCAGCTGGTCTTTCACTCAGCAGACATGGCCTAAGCGTCAAGCAAGGGAAGGAAGGGTGAGACCATGCCCCTACTACTATGGTGTGCCCGTGCCACTTTGGGAAACAGGCGTGTACCCCTTGTACAGTGTGGGTGCCGCTGTGCCGTGGAAGTGTTGTGTGGGCTTACGTTAGCCAGTGAGGGAACCCTAGATCTTATGCGAAAAGCAGAAGTTTCCCAGATCAAGAATCATACTTTAGCCCAGATTGGCACTATTGACGTTTCAAACCAGATAATTCTTGGCTGGGGACTATCTTGTGCATTGTAGGGTGTTTAAACGCAGCAACCATGGCCTCTACCCGCTAGATGCTGGTAACAACCCCCCAGTCCTAACAAAAATGTCTCCAGACATTTCCACATGTCCCCCAGGGAGCAAAATTACTTCCCACCGAGAACCCCAGCTTTAGGCAAAGGAAACAGCAACAGCAAAAGCTTAGGAGGAATGAACTTACAAACTGGCAAAATAGTTAGGTACTGTTGAAATGTCAGGGTGTGGGAGGGGCGCTCCAGGCTGAAGTCATAAGGTAGTTTGGGGACAGTTTAGGAAGGGCCTTGAATGTCATGCTAAGACATCGGTGAGGAAATTGTGTCCTTACAAAGTCCCTTCTTTAAGGACCATTCAACAGGTCTGTTCATCATTTAGTACCAGTTAAATGTTGGCTTCAGAAGACCCGTGATGCTGCTGCCTTTGCGCAGACACCGAGGGCTGTGATCCTTGGTGGTGCTTTTTCTGCCCTGGTTGCTGGGAGTCTGGTGTTCACCTGAGTATTCGTAGCATCGAAGTGTTTCAGTGTTCCCCCTCCACACTGGTTGTTGGTTGTGTACGTGTCTTTCACCCCGTCCCCTCTGTTCTCTTTGGGAACCAGGTGGTGGCACCCAGTTCAATGGTGCTTTGCTGCACTTGCAAATTTGGACAGTCGCTCTGACGTGCCTGCCCTGTCCCCAGCTCCCCCACCCCCCGTGAACACGTGCCGACGTGCACTCCCCTCCAGTGCTGTTTTGTGTGCCTATGTGTACTCTTTCTCTCTTTTTGCTTCATTTAGTTTGACACTGTAATTGCAGAAGCGGCCAGCTTGACGTCCGGGAGCTGATCTCTCTCTACCCCTTCCTGTTGCCTACCTCCTCCTCCTTCACCCGGTCCCACCCTCCTCTCCACGAGTATGCAGACCTGAACCAGCTGACGCAGGGGGACCAGGAGAAGATGGCCAAGTGCAAGCGATTCCTCATGAGCTACCTGAACGAAGTCCGCAGCACAGAGGGCGCAAACGGCTACAAAGAAGACGTCGACACAGCCTTGCTCAAACTGTACGCGGAGGCCAACCACGACAGCCTGCTGGACCTCCTTGTCACCGAGAACTTCTGTCTTCTGACGGACAGCGCCATGTGGCTGGAGAAGCACAAGAAGTGAGTGTTTTCCTTTTGCTTGGCCCTTTTGCACTCGGTGGCCCTTTGCCGTGGATGTTGTCGTAAAGCCGACTTAGCCAGTGTGACGCTGGGGCTCCCAGTGATCCATCCAGCGACTGCCGTGAAATCATAGTGACAGCAGGCACCCAGCACTCCTCAGACGTCCCTCCCATCACCGTCTGTAGGCCACTTGAAGGGCTCTTGGAGGGCATTCACTCTCAGACCCATTCTTTAATGATACAGAGCACAGTCTGGAACTAGTCATGGGCTTTTGTTAGTAAATGAAGTGATTTTTAAGTTTCCTATGTAGTCAACTTAGGATTCACCTGCGGGAGATGCCACATGTGCATTGGTGAAATTAATAGTGCACTTTAGTCATTGATAACCAAATTAAATAGATAAATATCTAGATAAGTAGGTACAAAGGGAGGCTTCTTGATTTTGTTGATACAAGGTATAGTTTAAAAGTTTGCTTTCTTTCAGTGCATGAGTTAGTGGGTGGCCTTAGGTTTAGTGGGCAGTTAATACATAGTGACTGGCTTGGTTGGGCCCAGCAGCTTCTTCATCCTGGGCAGGTGATCATGTAGCCCAACCGTTCCAGGCCTTGGTTTTCCTATCTTTAAAAATGAGGGGTGTTGCCTCAACTCCATTTAAGCAAAAATAGTTCTGGCTGTGACTCTTGTTAAGTATGTGAAATGGCGAAAGTGTGGATGAAATCCCACGGGGACCATGGGGTTACTGTGCTAGGTCCCATTCAGGTGCATGAGGTGACACAGGCTTCCACGTGGTACTAGCTCTTTCAGCAGTTTCCATCAGTTCTGCGAATATGCTGTGGAGTCAGGTTATTTTGTTTAGGAGCCAGGCCTCATGGTAGTGACTCAGGATGGTAGGATCTGTAGAGTCAGCATAACTTTCCAAAAGTTTAAGGAAATGCGAAGGATTCAAGTAGATACGTCAGTATCTTGAGAGTTTGCTCTTGGAAGGAAGAAATCTGACCTCTCACTGGGTCAGCTCACTCCAGTTACCTGCGGGGGAGGAGGAGGACCAGGGTCCTGGCACACATGCAGAACTTCGGGACGGTGCCAAGGGCTCCCTGCCCAGGCAATGCCAATATGATTGCTAATCTTTTCCATTTATAAATGAGGAAATGGAGGGCTGGGAAAGTTAATCTACTTGCTCAAGGTCAGACAATTTATACATAATGAAGCTTGAATTGAAACTCGGGGCCTTGAACTCTGGGCACCCTTCCCAGGACTCTCCCTGACTTCCTGCCACCTGCCATGCCTGGATTCCGTTGCAGTTACTGCTGTTACTCATGTTCAGACTCCTCACCCCCTCTTTCAATGCTTGCTCAGGCAGCATACTTTTTAGTACCCCGTGATGAGTCAATAATGGTTAACTGAAGGGCTATGAAATTACATTAATATTTGAAGCAAATTGTAAGGCAATTCCAAATGTGATTTTTCCATAGTATAGTTATTGTTTTCTTTTTCAGCTCATCTTAGATTGGAATCAGATTCTTTTTGGAAACTGATAGAACATACCTTTTTAGTACCATGAGTAAATAAACAGAAGTGAGAATCCTTTGGCTATTTGAAATTTGTTTGCCGAACTCTGACTTGAATAGAATACGGGTGTCACTGTGCGGAGGCCGCCTGTGTGGCCGGTGGGAGGGTTGTACTTACCGTGTTGTTCTCTTTCAGGTACTTTGCACTGGGACTGCTCTATCATTACAATAACCAAGATGCTGCTGCAGTTCAGGTGAGTTCAAAAGCATTTTCACATGATTTTAAATCAGTGTCATTTAATTTAGTGTTACTTAAAAAACATCCACAAGTTGACAGAGACCGCTTTTGCCTGATCAACACCCTTTTTTCCAGAACAAAAATAATACTGTTTTAGAAAGTGAATTCCTTGAGAAATGTTGGCCAAGAATTTTCTTTTCTTTGTCTTTATATCTCCTTAAAGAATATTATTGACACTGAGTTTTTGGAAATTTAAGAAATGAAAATACAATTTCTCATGGAGCTGCAAGGCATATGACATCACTGCCCTATCAGAAAATTAAGGCAGTGAATAACAGTCAGATGTATCATTTCCACTGTTAAGTACGATAACCGTTGCCAATGAGCTGTCCATTATTGTCCTTGTGTCACCTGTGACAAAACCAAAGCTGATCAAGGCCAGTCTCTTGCCCGAGGCCATGCTGGTCGTCAGTGGTAGAGCTGGGATTTGAACTAGCATTCTGTGTTGCCCTGGCAGGGCTATTGTGAGTGAATCAAAATCAGCATCGATTTGTTAGTGTAGTTTCTCGTCTCACATCTTGCATCTTACTACTGATCTTGAAAAAACCTCATCTTGTGCTCTCAGGAAACTTTCTCCCCTTCTGCTATTGGTTATCTACTTGTATTGCAGTGTGTAGGAGGTTCCTGATGTGCCTTTTTGTTTTATTTTGTGAGGGGCCAAGAGCATCAGCCGTATTCACCCAGCCAAAGTCAACTTTATGACTTTGGCAAAGCTGAACAAGTATTTAGTTGCTCTGAGAAACTATCATGGTAACATGATCGCAGAGCAGAGTTAAAAAAAAAAAGTGGGTTCCCATCAATGTGTACCCAGTGGCCAAGAGTAGATTTGGGTGTCAAAGATAAAATTTTTATTCTTTAAAACATGATGTTATCAGAATTACAGCTTGATGTAAGTGCTAATAATAGCATTAGCAGATATATATATGTATGTATGTATATATGTATGTATAGTTAGAGATTTGTAAACTTAAAATAATATGGGATAAATCTCCATGTGTGACATTCTATAAAAAATGACACGTCAGTGTATGTATGATTAAGTTATTTGGTTTAGAGAATGCAGTGTTGAAGAAACTAGTATCATAAAAAGTGTCTATTTCTTTTATGTTTAAATGTAATTAAATTTTTATTGTTTTCTCTTTTCATTTTTTATTCCTGTCCAGTTGTGGGTGAACATTGTGAACGGGGACATCCAGGACTCCACGCGCTCAGACGTGTATGAATACGTCGTTGATTTCCTCACCTGCTGCGTAGACCAGGAGCTGGTGTGGGCCCACGCGGACTGGGCCCTGCAGAAGAGTGAGGAGGTTTGTGCTTCACAAATACATTCTTTGTGGGGGGCGCGGTAAAAACAGACCCCCAAAAACCTTGATTTTAGGTGGGGAAAGAAAGCTACATTTCCACCTCCCCCTCTGTTTTCTTTGTTCTCTTTTTAATAACTTCCTTTGAACCATCTGAATTCCAGCTCTGAGGGCAGTTCCTCATTTTGGTGTTTCTGAGACATCCTCTTTCTGGGGTGGGGTCACTTTTATGGGAAAGCAAGAAGCATTGTTAACTCACATTCTAATGTCTTGAAATCACGTGTTTTTGAACACCCCCGCTCCCCCCACACACACACAACCGAATGAAGTCTGGCACTGTTGTTCTCCGGAGCAGGAGCAGGTGGTTGCCCTGCAGGACTTGGTCCTCGGGAAGAGAAAGCCCCCAGCCTGGGCCACACTGGGCAGACCATCACGCTTGTCTCTGCTCCCCCAGCCCTGACGTGGAGGTTGTGGTCTGGAGGAGAAGGGGAGCCATGGGCAGGACTGGCCCATCTTAGGGGCTGGCAAGTGATAGTGAAAAAGTACCTGTTGGCTGTAGGGGAGGCAGCGTGCTCAGGACAGAGGGCCAGAATCCTTAGTAATGCCCCACAGACTGGGAAAAAGACCGCAAGCGTTTCCGGTGTCACTGTTAAAAATGTGTGCTGTACATTTCGATGGCTCCCCTTGGAGAGGCAGAATTAGCTTTCTGATGCAGGACCTTTGTCCTAAATGGAGAGTTCCTGAGTGTTGCATCTGCCTTTCCGAAGCCTGAGGTGGAATATATTCTCATATCCTCCCTGGTGCTGTCTTAACTGGAAAGTCAGAGCCTGTGCGTTTTGTGTACTTTCTCCTCCCTCTTTACCTTGCCTCTGTGCACACACTTGGAGAACACATCCTGACATCCTTGCACACACCCACAACATGGATCCAGCGCTGTTGCAAGGTTCAGGCTCTTCCCAGTGCTCAGAGATGATAGATAACAGCAAACCATACACAGACTTCTGTGTGCCAGACAATGGACAGTCACCTGGCATATGCCATCTCTTAAACAGCACAGCAGCGCCATAGGTGGGTATTAATTACAGATGAGGAAACTTTCCCAAGGTGGTATAGTTGGTAGAGCTGAGACACAGATCCAGGCTATAGAACCCAAACTTCGTACTCTTGACAGCTGTGCTGTATTTCTCACATTTTGGGTTTGTGGAGTGTGTGTGTGTACATGCATGTGTGTGCACGCACTGCGATAGCACCCGCACACATAGTGCTCAGGGCAGGCGCAGCATGGATTTACTTTCCTACTTGCCTCATCAGCCTTTCTTTGGAAGACGGAATCAGACCAGTCCACTCCACTTCACAGGCACAGGAAGACAGCCTGAAAACTTGTTCAGGGACCAGAGGCTGAGATCTCACATTAACCACCTATCATAAATAATCCACAGAGCAGATAATCCATGGTCAGAGAACAGAGTTTACTGTATCGAAGTTTTTACACGTTTGATATTTTTTCTTATACTCTTTAGCAAGTGATGAGCCTTGTTTTAAGATGATCTTACTATTACAAAGTTGTTACTCTATGGGCTGTCAAAACCTGTGACCAGTAAATATTTCATTCTTTAGTTTCTAAACCCTTTTCAAAGAAATTCCTGCTGGATATGAGAGGAGAGTTTCAGAGTCTAGGCTGCCTTTCCTATCTTGGTTTTATGCCCTTTGGTCTTTGTGCTTCATGCTGGACTGCTTTTTTCTATAATCATATTTTTAAACCACTTTATTGAGATACAATTGACATACACAAAGCTGTACATATTTAATGCACTCTATCACCAGATTTTTAATGATGATTTTATCCCAAGTGTGAATGTGCAGTGACAGAAATAAAGATGAAAAGGTGAGTTTAAAAAGCACAGTAACTAAATTGTTGCTCTTCTTTCAGGTTGGAGTTCAAGTTTTCACCAGGAGACCTTTGGATGAACATCAGAATAGTTTTAAGCCAGATGATATTATCAATTGCCTTAAAAAATACCCTAAAGCCCTCGTTAAATATCTGGAACATCTCGTTATAGACAAGAGACTGCAGGTGAGCACTTCAGAACTTAGACTACAGCGTGTGGGATGCAATAGCACAGTAGTAACTGAAAAGACAGAATTTAACTATAAAACTCCTTGGCACGAGGTTCTAATGTTACGTTCATGTTACCTGGGTGCTCAGTCTGTATTTGCTGGTGGTCTGAGTGGGGAACTTGTGGCTTGGTGAAAGAGACCTGGAGGAATAGGTAGCTTTTTTTTTTCCTAACCTACTGTCTCATGTCCACTCTGCTTATATTTTTCTTTTCTTTTCCTCCTTTGTTATTATCCTTAAAGGAAATGAGAGAAGCTATACCTTTTTGTAGAATACCTAAATCTGTGGCCCTTACGTCTCACAATGAGGAAGAACCTTTTTTTATATTCCCCATAGATGTTAAACTTGTCTTGTCTGTCTTGTGATTTCCGAGAGGTTTTCGATCCAGCAAGGAGTGACTGCCCCAGCCCACCTCCGTCTCGGGAGCCCTGGCTGCCAAGCGAGGGCTGCAGGCTTCCCACTTGCCAACGCTGTCTGTGTGCTTGGGCCCCCGTCCCCTACAGAAAGAAGAGTATCACACACACCTGGCCCTCCTCTACCTGGAAGAGGTGCTGCAGCAGAGGGCCTCCGCCAGCAGCAAGGGTGCAGAAGCCACCGAGACGCAGGCCAAACTGCGGCATCTGCTCCAGAAGTCCGATTCGTACCGAGTTCACTCTCTCATAGGTGAGGATGGTTTCGATATTCTCTCTAGTTAGAAACTTCTCTCAAGGGGGTGGGGGAAAGCAGAGAGAAAGGCTTTGGCATAGCTCCTGATTTTGATTCCATGGGGTGATTCCTTCACCCTCTTACGGCAGAGTCAGCCTTCCTGGAGGGAGGGGTGGGCTTCTCCTGCTCCCACCCTCTGCAGGTCGACAGTGCCTTTCATTGAGCTGCCTGGTAGGTTTTGGATGTCTGCATGTCTCTCGACCATACCTTTGTTCAGACTTCCTTATTCAGCTTCAAAGCACCGAATCGTAGTTCCTTCTGATGTTTCTAATATCTGATCGGAGCTCTGCCAGCTGGCACTGCCCCAGCGGCCTGCTCGTGGACTGCTCAAGGCTCGAGACCTCTCAAGCCTTAAGCCAGAGGAAGGTAGCCTAGGTATCTTGGAGGGAATCTGGGTTTGCAGTTCCTCAGGGGTGCAGAGACCACAGTTTCTGTATTGTGTAAAGTGCCACAGAGCCGCATGGTGTTTGCACCTAGTAGAATCAACTAGTTTCTTTCTGCATTTGACATTATAGAATTTCTGGACTTGTACTCCCTGGGGTTAGTGACATGTTTTTCTTATTCTCATTATAAGCAGTAGTTATGATCTATGAAGTCGCCACAAACACTGACTTAGTGAACAATGAACTACTGTTACTAGGGGAAATACAGGGTGTTACGTTACTGCAAACCTCTGGTCACAGCATTTTCATCAACCAATCTGTACATGAGCTTGTTTTATGGGTGTTTCTGTTTAAAGACACCTATTTAATACATATTGTTGATTCACCAGCATTGAACACAGCCAACAACACTGTACCTCACACCTAAATGAAGCACTCTAACACACGTATTTTCTCTATAAGACACCTCATGTGCTTAGGAGCACTAGACAGCACTTCAGCACTATGCTTGGAGGACATTTTAAACAGTGAAATCGCCAACAGGAGCAAAAAAAAAATACAAAAAATGTGGCAGGAATTAGACTAGATCGTGGAAAGGATATGTGTACATAGTGTGAGAGCTGAGACAAGATGGCAGGGTGTCATCACCTTGTTTGACTTCAGCTGTGTGGCTAAAATTTTTGACACTCTATGTTTAGCCAGAAATGACTTGAAATTATCGCGAGTATTGATTTGGAGGTTACAAATAAATATCAGTGAGTAGATGAATTTGTAAATACAGAATTCACAAATAACGAGGACCGACTGGCTATGCCACAGCTAGCGAGGCCCGCCAGTGGGCCCTGAGGTTCCAGGCCCCGCCTGTGTCTGAGCTGCGGGTTCTGTCTCGCAGAGAGGATCCAGGGCGCCGGCCTGCCCATGGAGAGCGCCATCCTCCACGGGAAGCTGGGCGAGCACGACAAGGCCCTGCACATCCTGGTGCATGAGCTGAAGGACTTCTCGGCGGCCGAGGACTACTGCCTGTGGTGCTCCGAGGGCCGGGACCCGCCCCACCGCCAGCGCCTCTTCCACACACTGCTCGCCATTTACCTCCACGCCGGACCCTCTGCCCACGAGCTGACCGTGGCTGCTGTGGACCTGCTGAACCGCCATGCCACAGAATTCGATGCGGCCCAGGTGCTGCAGCTGCTGCCCGACACGTGGTCAGTGCAGCTTCTTTGCCCGTTCCTGATGGGCGCCATGAGGGACAGTGTCCATGCCAGGAGGACCATGCAGGTGGCCGTTGGCCTGGCTAGGTCAGAAAACTTAATCTACACCTACGATAAGGTGAGTGCCCAGCCCTTCTGCACGAGCTAGCTTTTTGGCCAGGTGATATTTTATTGAAGGCAGATTTTACCTATGGAAAAGCAGTCTTTCTTGGTTTTTCTTTTTTCTCTCTCTCTCTATCATGTCAACACATCAATATCCGATCTCACTCATATAGAAACCGAGTCTGTGGCAGCAGAGCAGAGGCTGGGCTGGCAGGTCTGACAGCAGTGCACTTGGTCTCCCCTTTTGGACACTGCTCAAGAGAGCATGGGAGAGGCTGAGCGAAGGAGAGCGCTGTCAGAATAGCGAGCCCTTCCCAGCAGACATGATGTGCTGTTAGAGGCACTTTCCATCATGATACCATTTTGTCATCACAACAGTTTTATGCAGTATCTACTATTATCATCCCCATTGTATAGGAGAGGAAACTGAGGCAGGGATGAGTTGCACAGTGAGCAAATGGAAGAGCCCAGAGGTGCCTCCCAGGTCAATTCAAAACCCCGTTCCAGGTCCCCATGCTGCCCTCCCCCTCTGGAGATGGCTTCCCGGTGGGGCTTATGTTCCACATGGCTCAGACAGTTCTTTCCAGAGCAGAATCCAACATGTTCCTTGGTTGACTCCCCGTGGCCTGGAAGATGGAGTCTCGCCTTCCTTCCCCATCTCTGCTTCCCAGCACGCATCCTGGCTTTAGCTGCACGGAACCTTCCAGATGTGACATGCTTTTCATACCTCTTCGCCTTTGTACATGCTGTTCCCACTGCCTGAGATATTCTTACCTTTTTCTTTGTGCCTGGAAAGGGCCCAGTCAAAACCCAGCCTAAGTACTTTTTTCCTTGGTAAAACCATCTCATACCCTTAACAGATTAATCCCCTTCTCTTATGCCCATTTGCTTACTTTACGCATGCATTCACAGTCGTCTCCCTTCACTGTTAGAATCTGGGTTCTTTGAGGGCAGGGAGCTTCACTTATTTATCTTCATTTCAGTCTCCCTGGGGCCAAGCCTGGCGTGTTGAAGGCATCTGATCAATGTTTGTGGAATAACTCACACAACTATGCGTTCAGGAGGAATTCACCAAGTTGCTACTTGACCCTTCTAGTAGACTGATTTGCCTGGGTTGACACAAGTGAATTGTGCAGAAAGACTTGGTAACTTGCTACACTCAAGTCCTGTTTATCAGACAGGGGCTGCTGGCATTACAGCTCAGTTTTAGCAGTTATCTCTAAAGAAATAGAATTGTGTTTCCCAGAGCCAGTCAGGAATTTGCCTCATTAGCCGTATGACTTTGACTACGTCCCTCATTATTGCCTTACTCTTCTTATTTGCAAATGGGAGGACTGTGGAATTAGATGATTTCCATAGTCCCATTCAGCACTGACATTCGTGACTTTGTAACAGGCCTTGCTTGAAACCATCAGAGCTCAGAGAACATTAGAGGATCTTGATAGAAATGCCTTGACCAGACAAGCATCAATGACTTCTGCAAAATAAGAAAAGCAGTTTTGTAGCTCTTTTACTTTTCTAGTTAGTAAGAATGGTTTTATATTCACCGTTAATATTCTGTTTCAAGATAATATCAAAATAAGCCTCATCAGTAATAATAATCTGCGTGGTAATGCATGTCAACTCTGAAAAACCAGGAAGCAGCTACTGCAGGTATAATCACATGTGAAGAGTTCTCAGTCTCGCTTTCTCTTTGCAGATGAAGTTGAAAGGAAGCTCTGTGCGGCTGTCCGACAAAAAGCTTTGCCAGATGTGCCAAAATCCCTTTCGTGAGCCTGTGTTTGTTAGATATCCAAACGGTGGTCTTGTGCACACCCACTGTGCTGCCAGCAGACACACGAACCCCAGCTCACCCAGCCCTGGCACTCGGACTTGACACGCTTGGCCTGAGGGCACGAGGGGACTCCGACACCATGTTCGTTACCAGCCTGCCGGATGCAAAGAGCAGACAGCCAGGCCCTGTGTCAGCCAGAACGAGGGGAAGACATCTGGGTACCTGCGTGCCGGGGAGACTTTAGTCCACGGGAAACAAGGACTCCTCACTTCTGACTGCTCTCTGTGAATGTACATGGCAAATCCCTGAAAATCCCGAAAATAGAGACATGCAAGAGTTCACCTGTCCACGAACAATTATCCAAAACAAAGGTCTACTTTGAAAAGTGAGTCTTCCCTGTGCAGTCGAGACACAGGTGAGGCCCTGCTGCCCCCAGCCCCATCTTTAGACACGCACCTGCACTGGAAACATGCTTCAGCGTGGCCTGAGATGCAGCCCACTCCTGCCCGGCAAGTGGCCAGGGCATAGACACCTGTGGTGGCAGCCTTGCATTCCCACGGAGGTGTGTTCTCCATCCACACGGCTCAGCCGTGGCAGTCCTGTTTCCCAGGGTAACCTTGTGGGCCCTGCCTTTGCCCTTGGAAACAGCTGACCTTGGAGAAGGATCTTTGTTTCTTACTTCCCGTCTGGCTCTCTCAGTCCCCAAAATATTCTGCCTTCTTTACCCAAGCACTCACTTTTGGGTAAATTCCTATGCTTCTGGCTGCCTAGAGAGTGAAGATCTATTTAGAAACTGCGAAAACTCCAGGAGAGAAGCCTGGAGGTGGCGGGAAGGGGAATCTCCTGGCGGGCGAGGGCCCAGGTGTGCGTTCCTTTCCTGTCCATTGTCTGCTGATGTGAAACTCCATGATTACCATGTTTGACTAAACATTTTTATTTAAATTGCATCACCTCTGTAGTTTTTCTCGTCTTTAGAAATTCATCCATCCTATTCGTTAGGGATATTTTCTCTCATTAGAGTGTACCTCCTATTGAATACTTGGGAAACTAAAAGGGAAATGTGATGAGCACAAACCGAGCATTCTTTGCAGGAGAGGCCGGCTTTAACCTCTCACTTTTAGCAGGGCAGGCACCGGGTGAAGCTGTCTTGGTGCTTGGCGGAGGCGGCGCCGCTCCTGGCGGGTGCCTCTGGACCGCACACCCTCACGGGGACGTCCAGTCAGGCTGCTTCACCTCCCTGCACTTTACGTGCCTGCTCTGAGGTCTCCTGAACACACGGAAGAAAATGCCTCTCATTTGTAATAGGCTGGAGATTCCTTTTGTGTTTCTGTGTAACATCACCAACAAGCCGAAGCTGTTGTCACTTCACTGCCCTCTTTTGAATTTCTTCATTGTGGTTATTGATTCTCTTAGGAGCTAACAATAAAGACACTGTACCCCCAACCATAATGCTTGGAGACAAGTGTTAGCTCGTACACATGACAAGAGAGGACCCTGGAATATACCCTCTCTTCATCAGCCCAAGCCTTCCTGAGCTGGGATGAGCTCATTCTCCATCCTTTAAAAAATGTTTCCTGTACTAATAATGGTCAGTGTGTTTTTTTTTTCATTTTATGATTCTAATTGGGCCAAGAAGCAAAAGCATCCATGTGTTGTTTTAGGGGTGGGGGGTGGAATTGGCACCATTTTATCCTATTAAATAGCTATGTTTCAATTATCTAAAGAGTAAATGATGAAGAAATTCTCCTTGTAGCTCAACTGTATGCTATGTAAATTGGTATACGCTCAAAGCCTGGTCATGAGTTTTACCCTGTGGGTGACTCTGTTATGGAATGGTCGTATTATTGCATACATTATCATTACAACTTGTGAGTTTGAGTTTATATTTCTTAAAGAATCAGTTACCCATATATGCAACATTGCACTCCTAAAAGCACTGTTTTCTCTGTACAAAATGGGTAAAGTCTTGAAAAAACTCAGCAATTGCTCATTCCTAACTTGGGGACACTTGTCTCTTTTTTCTCTGAACATTGATCAATATTTTGGATCGTTCGTCGTCCTTTAGAATAATGGGGATTAAAGTTGAGCAGTTTTCCATCTCTACTGAATCCTTTAACACAAGCAGAATTCTATGACGATGTGCAGAATTGTCTAGTGTATTAAAAACTGTACCTTTGTCTAACCTTTCTCACTCCTACAAGGCCCTTTTCTCAAATCTTATTTTTAAGAGAAATATATGGTTCTTTCTAACAGGCCTGCTGATTTGTGACTGTGCCGTTGAATAGAGCAATTAGAACCATCACTCAGACCTTTCCCCCTCATTAGGTTCAGTGTAACCATTCTAGTTAAAACAGCATGAATTGAATTCAGTTTACATTAATTCTCTATGGGCAATACCATTTGGTTTTATGAACTGTTTATCTGCTGTTGCCTGTCAAGGATTAATGGAGGAGTGTCCTGTGGGCTGGGGGGTGTGGGCTTGCTAACGTGGTCTCGCTCACCTCGGGAGTGTGGGCAGGGGGCCACGGGTGGCACCGCTCAGTGGACACCTGTTACATGCCTAGGGTGGCTCTTGCTTTTTGCTTTCTCTCCCATAGAAACCTTTGTCCTTGCAACTTTATCCTTCACCCCTGATTGAGTCCCAGATACACAAGATGTACAAATGTAAACTTATTGATTTTATTAAAATTCTTTTAGTTCTTTGTTCTTTCTGTAATTTTTTTAAAATAAAAATGATCTTGGTGGAGTGATGGTTTCCACTCAACGCCGTACCTGGTCTAGGGAATTCTAGAATCTGTACCTCCTGGCTCCTCCTGGCACCTGCCCCTCAAATTCTGTTTATTACTTTACCAAATTTTAAGCTATCTGCTTGTGAATTTATCTCCTGCGTATGTTTAGGGCACTCCTTGACATTTGTTGCCTTCAGATTAATCATGCACTGAGGAATTTAACCAGGGAGGTTTCTGATTACTTCTTACATACTTCACCTTTTAGCCAGGTGCTCTTAAATAAGCCTGCTGCTCTTGGATTTCTAACCCTGAACATATTCAAGGAACATAACTTTTTTTTAAAATCTTTTAAATTTTGCTTCGTCACCTAGGACGCTGTTGGGAGGAGATCTCTGAGCCATCCTGTTGAATTTCACAGCACTTTCTCCTGTTCTTTCCTTCCTGGTACTGTTCTAGCCCCGAGGAGAGGGGTGTGTCACACAGGTGATGTCCCCTGACCATGCCAGCCCTACTCCAGTCGGGTGGGGTAGATCCCAAACGTGTGAGGAGAGGCAGAGTGTCATGACTCCTCTGCATTTCAAATTGAAGAAACTGAGGCACAGTTTGTTCCAGTGATTTTCTTGGAGTTTGAGTGGGCAACTAGCCAGAGCTGCAGTTCCCGCCTGCAGATCCTCCCACTGGGCACTTCAGCAACCCAAAGTGCGGCAACCGGAAACCATGCCTGGGCTGCCTGCATTCAAACCATTGTGCTGCTGCCTATAGAAAAAGCGTGAAGCAGCAACTGTAATATTCTTTTCTCATTTTTACCTCATTGGTATCCGAAGGCCCATTAGCATATTAGAGAGTAAGGAAGCGGGGAGGGGCCGTTTAGATGAATAAACTTGACTGGAAGGGAGGAGGTGTGGATTCGCAGTGACTGAATTGTGAGAGTAGTACCAAGGCAGGAGACCAGGCCTGTGGCTGGGGGAGAGAGCGAGCGTCAATTGACGTCCTAAGTGTGTCTGTCGGTGGAGGCAGAGACTGGCATCTGACTCAGTTAAATGGGCTGTGACTTGTGTTAGGAGTAATTAGATGTTAACTAACACCCCATTTGCTCTTAGCAGATCTGTCAGCCTTAGCATTTGAAATGAAAATGTACAAGAATCTAGACCATATGGACTAGAGGCCCTTTCACCTTCTCAAAAAAGCTAAATGGCTGGAGCACCGTCCAAAGGCTTGTTAACAGTTGTTGGGAGATAAGCATTTGAATTAATGAAGCCTACTTTTCCTTAGCTTGCAACCAGGGAAGGGAAACAAATAGCTATAATGCAGCCTGCAGTCCAGAGTCGTAAATTAGTTAAATGAGATCACGTGGCAAGAAGGGATTAGAAAGCAACACACACAACTCAACAGGCCAAGTGTGACTTGAGAAGTCAAATCACACTTCTCAATGTGTGAGGTGTGGGGAAGCCTTGTTGGGCTCTGACACACCCCCCCCACCGTGGTCCTGGGCAAGTCATGTCACCTAGACCTTGGTGGCCTTGCCCATAAACAGGAGGTGGAGCTGGGTGGTGTCTGAAGCCCCTTCTGGTGTTAACTTTCTGTTCTAAGCAAAAGAAATCGGGGTGAGGGAGTAGGTGTGATCTCAGCCTTTGATACCAGAGCCCCCAGGGGAGCCCCCGTTGGCCCCAGCACAGGAGCTCTTGCAGCATCCCATGGACGTGTCCCCGTGGGGGTGTGTGAGCGTTCCCAGATGCCCAACTTGCAGGGTCCCGTGGTTCCGTGATTAGAAAAGCAACTTTGTAACTCACCCCTGCTCGTTCAAGCTCCACAGTCTGGAGCCCTGAGAGGAGCTGGTCCACACATACCCTTTTCAGAGGCCCTTTCCTCCGCCTCCTCCAGTCCTGGCTGAGAACCCCTTTGCCTTTGCTCGTGTGCTCTGGCTTCCACAGTGCTTCCCTTGACCATCACCTTTCTCTAGAGAATGGTTTCCATTTATCTCACTTGAAATACCAGTTTTACTCTTTCAAATTCCATGTGTGTCCAGGCTAAGGGAGACAAGTCCCCACCCTGCTCTTGATGGGAGCGAGAGCCGAGATGACGCAGAGTGCTGCAGGCTGACTCACCTCGGCCCCGGCGCTGTCGGGCGCCCACGCACGTTGGTGATTCACCTGGTGCTGCGGTGTGAGGCGCGCAGTAGAATCGGGCGGTCAGTCTGCCACCCGCCCCCACCCCACCTCTGCAGCCAGCGTGTCACAGTAAAACCCCACAGTCTAAGTTGTTTTTCAACACATTGCTGACTTACACACAACTATTGACTGGAGCTCCAAAGTAAATATAACTGAAATCCCAAACATTTGCTTTCTTAAGAATTGGAGCACAAGAGAGCATTTCCCTGATTATTATAACAAGACAAAATAATGCACAATTCTAAAGAGAGTTGATTTTATTTTCAATTTATAAGAGTATATTCACTTTATGAGTAAATATAGTCAGAAACTCAAAAATTGAGACAAGTTATCATGCTATTGACATGGCTATATTTAAGTACATTTTCCATGTATGTTTTCTTGCCATTTTATTAGGGTAAAATATATATAATATAAAATTTGCCATTTCAGCCATTTTTTAAGTGCATAGTTCTGTGGCATTAATACATTGACGTTGCTGTGCAACCATCACCACCATCCATCTTCAGAACTTTGTTATTATCCCAAACAGAAACTCGGTACCCATTAAGCAATAACTCCTCATCGCCCCCTCCCCCAGTCCCCGGCAACCATCATTCTGCTTTACGTCTCTATGAATTTAACTATTTGAGGTATCTCATGGAAGTGGAGTCGCACAGTATTTGTCCATTTGTGACCGTCTCATTTCACTTGGCATAATTTCCCCAAGGTTCACCCATGTTGTAGCAGGGTTCAGAATTTCCTTCCTTTGTGATGCTGAATAATATTCCATTTCATGGTTTTAAATAGTGTATTTAGTTACCAAAAGTGTGTGGGCATAGACTATTTGCATTGTTTATTTTATATAAAGCTAGAATTACTATTTTATACATTCATATCAATGTAGGAAACATAACCCTGTATCAGCCCACCTAAGGGTCATCCATTTATTGTCCTAATCCCTTTTGTTGGGTTAAGCTCATGAATGGTCTAATGCAGGCCCTTGGACATGGATTCAAAATCAGCACAAGGTCTTTGACAACAGGGAGTGGCACAGAGATTTCTCCATTCATGATGTGACACATGTCTGCAAAGGTCTGCATAAAGCCGACTCAGAAACAAGGGCCAGACTAACTTACAGGAAACAGTGGCCAGAGCCAGGGCAGCTACCCTGTAGGTCAGAGCAGGTGACACAGTAGTCAGGTCTCCTAACGAAGGTTTGCACGACTTCCATCATTGTTTTCTAGCCTCCTTTACATAAAGCTCTGCAGCATCTTTTGGGAAGGGAAGAAGCTGTGCCCCACCCCAGATCCCTAGTCATGCCCCTCCTTGAGCTTGCTGTGGCTATTACGGCTCTAATTCCTGTTTTCCAGTAGGTCACCATCAC